TTACAAACATGCTGCACTCTCTGTCTCCAAAAAAAGCGATGGTTCGCATAACTGTCTTGTGCTGCTCAAACATGTCAGGAACGAACAAGAGGAAGCTGTTGGTTATAGGAAAAAGCACTAAGCCTTGCTGCTTTAAAGGACTTAGGATGGACAGTTTACCAGTTCTGTATTATGAGAACAGAAATGCGTGGATGACCTCTGAACTTTTTAAAGAATGGCTGAAGATTTGGAACAGAGAGCTACAATGCCAGTCGAGAAAAATGCTGCTTCTTCTTGACAATTGTGCAGCACATCCTCATTTAGATTGCTTGAAGAATATCCAACCGGAATTTCTACCTCTCAGAACCACAGCTTTCGTCCAGCCAATGGACATGAGCATCATCAAAAATTTGAAAACCCCTTTATCGAGCAATGTTGGTTAATTACATACTCGAAGCAATTGAAGAAAGTTTACTGACCTCATCAAGCCAGCAAAGTCAGTGCAAAGGTCAATATCTTACAAGCAGCTACATTTGTGGCTGATAGCTGGCAAAAAGTGAGCAGTGAGACAATTCAGAACTGTTTTTCTCAAATGTGGCCTTAAGCACTTGGTTTTGGAGATGGATGTGGACATGCTCATTGAAAGTGAAAATGATAACGGATATGGGAAACTTCAACAGGTACAAAATTGCGAAGAATTCTTATCCATTGACAATGAGCTTCAATGCTATGATGAAAATGAAGATTACGACGCTGCAATTGTTGCAGCAAAACACACAACAGAATCAGAAGATTAAGAAAGTGATGATGATGCCGCTAATAAGTTGGTGCAAGTGACAACACAGAATGCGAGGAAATGCACTGAAACTTTGCATCAGTATTTCATGCAGGAGGAAATGAAGGTAGTCCCATTGCTGTGTTAGATGTTTGTGGCGATTTTGTTCATGTGCAATCCGTCAAGAGAATGCGTCAGATCACATTGGATAAGTTCTTTAAATGTTGACTGGAACTTGGTAAGAACTTGTTTTTATTGTGCTTTGCATGCTGAGTATTGTGGAGATCGTTTCTTAAAATTTGTTTCTAAATTAATTTTCTCAATGAAAAAGGTTCGACTGTACTTCTTGTTTGTGCATGTATGTTCGCCATATGTGTGTACCGCACCATAAAGGTCATAATTACATTTTAGTACATGATTTACATGTACATTTACTGTTTGATACATATAGCACATCCCATCTTACAACATAGGACATGTTCGTGTAATCGGACCAGCCGGTTATTAGGACCAAAACGATCGCTTCCTGATGTGGTCCGATTAACCGGAATCGACTGTATATATTATTTATAGTTATTGTAGGAATATTTAATTTTACTCAAGCAGTCCTGTGTGTGAAAGGTAATTGAAACTTTTAATTCTTATTGCCAGCATTACATTAAAATTCATTTAATATCATAAGGTAGAAATTAAAAATTGCATGTAAGGAACAACTAAATTATTTTTTGAATGGAAACTTAACTCTCATCAGAACATTTCATTTTAAAATTATTATTCAGACTATTAAAGAAATCAATGTTTGAAAGTACCTCAATACCAAATTTTTTTAAGCAATAGAAATTCTCTACCATACTTTAGCAATTAATGGCCATCCAAAATCCCCAAAAAATGGATAAACCTTCTCTTGACAGACAAAATAACATCTTCTAGCAGAAACAATTAAAAATTTACTCTTATTTTAAAACCTAAATCTTATTCCAAAACAGTTAACAACATTACACCCAATAAAAATTTCATCAAATTTTTCCGTGCAATTACGGAGCTCACAAACATTTTCAGTAGTAATAAATTATCACAAATAACATTTCTTATTACCAACAGGTAGGAAGTGCTGAAATTCCAATGGAGAAAATGTACATGTTATTATAAATCGTTGAAGAAATGTGTACATTCCATTCCAAAATAATATTTAACCTTGCCCAAGCCTTATTTTGATTTTTTGCCCTGATATTCCATCACCAGAAGTAAAAACCTGATTCTTCACTGCTCCCTTAAACCTAAGCAGACAAAACATGCTCAGTACTTGGGAGGGTGACAACTAAGACTTACTGCATGTTTGATTTAAATATTTTTTTCAATAATAATAAATGTTATATTTATAAATTTACTTATGGAAACATAAAGTACAAATATTTAAAATAGTAATTACATTAGAAATATTTAAATATAATTGTTCCATTTACGAAATATTTAAGTGCACAAATGAATAAGTATGAACAAAAATTTCTGGAAAATCCAAAAATTGTTTATAAAGCAGAAATAAACAGCAGCAAAAAAATAATCGCAAATAGAAGATTGATGCTTTGTGCTTCATTCACATTTAACTCTCCACAAATGACTCCCACAATCTGAGCACGGTTATCAAGTTTGTTCGCTACTACATTTCACATGAAAATCGTAAGCAAAGATTTTGTTTCTATTGATTTCAATACAAATGCTGTTCTTTGTGCAGGGTAAATTGTCTTATGGGTGGTTCATTATTTCAATGCCAGATGGCTCTATAAGGTCCATTTTATTGTATAGAATTTGGATAAAAGCTTTGAATTTGATCATCAAAACATTCCAGCATGGGCTGTATTTGTCTTGTAGAAAATCATTTTATAAGCTATAGTTTAACCACGGCTGCTGCGACTATGAGTACACACACATATGCCCATTTGGACCAATTTATGTGCAAGAATAGGATGGATGGAAATGAATGCTGTAGTAAAGATTTTTTTCGTTTTACCTCACGTAAGGTGTGAAGAGTATCAAGTACGATTATGTTTGGAGCCATGCTTCAAAGTTTATCACATGCAAAAAAAAACTTTCCATAATAATAAGCGAGTAAAAATAAAAGCGCAAATTTTATTTCTAAGTCGTCTATTTTTATAAACAACTGTAATATTTCTATATAATTAAAATATATATTTTTGGTATGTGTGCAATTTAATATTGACTTTTTTCCTTTTTTACAAATTTTGTATTTTTTGTTTTATAGTCAAGTTTCTGCAATTTCTGTAACAATTTTGTCACTAAATGTTTAAAATTAAATTTACCTAAAAATAAAAATATTGTGTACATTTTTTAACTTGTAAATTATGCCCGAAGAATTTGTGTGCATCATATTACATGCAATATGAAAACACAAAGAGCAATTACAATTCTTGTATTAATTAAAAACTGTTCATAAATATAGCACTAATAATAAATGTAGATGGAGAAAATATTAAAAAAAAATCATCCAACATTTCAAAAAGTATGAAAATTAACCCAAATGCAGAGAATTAAAGTAAGGATTGATTCTCCACGGTTTAATATCACTTGCACCCTGCACGTCTGCTTCACCACACTTTGGTTTGGAATCCAAAGTCGCCTGAGGTTATCAAACTGATTTACATCGTGTCTACAAAAGCTCACCTTCTTTTCCTTCATGTTTTTTGATTCTAATACTAACAAATAGTTTCAGAATATCAACCTCTCTTATTTTTCCCAAAAGCCCTTTTCATGCCTTTTATTCAAACCATTGAAGAATTTCCAGATTCACTAACAACAGTGATTAGAAGCATGATCTTCATGAAAATCACACTTTTATCACAATATGTTGATGCAGAACTGTAAGGAAAAAGTCAAAGTACAAATTTTTCTTTCAATATCAAAAGATAGCATTTTAGAGAAAGACAGCATTAGAAAGAAACTGGATCATATTTACATATGATATGCTGGGAATAAAAGAGTCAAGACCAACATTGCTTTTCCATGGGTTGGATCAAAACAAATCTAAAAAATATATACTAATAGAAATTAAGATTGCAATTTTAGAGAATCCATGTTTTAAATTATAAAGCTTTTAAATCATTTTTATGCAGGATCAGTATTTTGCAAATGACACACTGAGACATTTGTATAAATGAGCAGGGATAAGAACTTAAAAGAAATACAACAGATAATAGACAGGTTCTGTGTTGTCTGTTCCATTCAGAATTGGAAGACAAACAGAACTGTTCCATTTCTGAATTAAGAAAGTCTGTTCTATTTCTGAATTATGAATACCAGTAAACATGCTAGTTTATAAGCTGAATCTGACTTAATAAATTGATATCCCCATCTCATAAGAGATATGCCAGTCTCAAATATTTTTAATCACCTTGATTTACAGATAGAAAATAAAAAAGATTATTTTTCAATAGATACATAACCATTGTAAAATAACCAACATTATGCACATATAAGCTCTACAGGAAAATAAAAGTCAAAACTACATGATGAAGTACCAGATGTGGTAACCTGTTTTTATTTCATCTCACAAGTAGCTAAGCAATGACATCATTTCAAATAATTAGGAAGAATGAACACAAATCCAATTAAATTCTTCTAAGACAAAGAATCAATACTGAAAGACTTTGTTCAGAAAAACCACAAAATAAAATTGTATTTTACTATTAATAGAGAACTAAAATGAAAGACAGCATTACAAGAAAAATTAGTAACAGAGTGGATGCTTCTTCGAAAGTTCACACACCCCTTTTCTGATAGCTATTTGTTTATTTACATCCAATGTCAAGATTTCATGTTGGTAGAATTCTATCATATAAAATAAGGACTATTATTGACTGGAATAACTACATGCTATCTAAATATCGAATTTCTGTATTTGTCTTCACTTCTGTATTGATTTCAGATTGAATAAAATATCAGTTCTTTTCATGAAGCTGTTTTCATACGGCTTTAGAGGTGATACTCATATTTCTTGTTAGATCATTCATATGTGCCAAATGTTGCCCTCCCTCTTGCTGAAACATGCTAAATAAATAAATAAATAAATATATAATAAAGAATTTCAGTGCATCAGTAAGCATATTTTCAGGTAATATTAATTAAAAGACCCAGAATTTCATATAATTATGACTGCAATAAATGAAGTCACAATTATAACTGCAGACAAATCTATCATTAAATACTAAGGTACTTTATTAAAATAACTTACCAATACTTAAATTTCGCATTTGTGGAGGTAGTTCTGATGATACTAATCTGTACTGAATAATTTGGTTCAGTCGTAAAAGGGTGCTTCTTTTCTCTGCAGGTGTTATAGGATCAGGTGGAACAATTTTATCCTACAAAACAGCATAAATATTAAAAGCATAATACTATTATTTAATTTTCTTTAAAGCATATCATTACAGTTTCTAACTGTTTACTTACACGAATACAAGTAGGTAAACGAGAGTAAGTTCCAAGTGTCAAAACTTCAACAGCACAAGGAAGATGGAAACTAGGCAGTCTGTTTAAAAATTAATAATAATAATAAAATTCTAATCCAATCTAATACTTGTTAAAAACTACAACACATATTATATTCACGGATATTAAAATAAAAGTAACATTTTAAATAGAAAATTAATTTTGAGCATTTATTCATGCACCATAAAGGATGTTCTACAAATCCCTTATTTTTGGGATTATTGATACCTGATTTAACTCCAAAATCCATTACAGTAGTCCCAAAATTCTTAACATATTTTAAAAACTAAATGTGAATAAGTAGATGCAATTGAAGCTCAAAATTTACACAAATATTGTTGCAGTGATTAAAAAAGAACTTTAGGTACTTCCTTCTAAGTTCCACATTCATGAATTCACTAGAAAATGTAAATTAAGAAATTTTTATTGGCAGACATAGCTGAATACACAAAAGAAGCATGAAATAGTGTGGCCCAGAATAAAATAAAGATATGTTTTAAGAAAGGTACTATTAATTGTGAGCTGCCTGAAGATAAAGGCAAAAAGGATAACATTTTATTTTACACCAAAAACAAAATTCTTGAACTAGGTCAACTGTTAGGTATTGATACTGACAAAAACTTCAAAGACGACAAAGATCTTCAAGTTGAAGATGACTGGAAGAAAAAGCCAATACCTTCATTTCTATAAAAGCAAGAGAAACTGCATAAAGAAACAGAAAATAACCTGACTGTTCCCTTAAGATTAAGTTTTACAGTATGGTAACAAGCTCAAAAAAGTATTTTATCATAATCTAAGAAATACCAAGACAGAAAAAGTATTAACACACAGGCAGCAGTGATGAATCTGTTATAGATTTACAACTACCAGGGGCACATGCAGCTTTATTAACTACTATGCAAGTAACATTACCTTACTCTGACTACCAAGCTAATATTCACAAAAAGAGAAATACCATAGGTTACTTTCATAGCTGAGTACTTTTAAAAGTAAAAGTAATTTCATATCCTTTTAAAAAGTTTTCACATAAAATCCACTTTAGAGGTAAGTGCAGAAAGCAAAAATGTCTATGATAATGTTTGGCAGTGAAAACTTGTAAAGATATTGATTAATTGTGATATGAGAGATAATATGCTACAGTGGCTAAAATTCCTTTCATGTGTAAGTAAAATACCAGATAGCATACACCATATAAGTTCAGTTCTGAAATGAAAATCCCCTCATTCAGTCACAAGATGCATTCTTTAATATTATGATATATGCCTTGATCGGCAGATTCGTGAATGAAAGCAGTAAGTTTTATTCACAGGTCTTATGACTGAATAGTAGACTCTGATGATAATACTGTCATTTTTAGTAAAGGTAAAAATAATTTACTTCAAATCACTAAGTCAATGAAACATTTACAAAGCTGAAGGGATGGAAGATCAGCACACCAAAAAAGATTATCTAGCATCAACCTGGAGATGATAGATCTGCTAGTGCTGGACATTTTTTGTGAGAAATACTTTAAACAATCATATGTTGTGGGCTGAAAGGCAACAATTTTTGATACAAGACCTGAACCCAGCAAACCCACATTTAAAAAATGTAATGATCAGCTTCAAAAAGTCTGTCCTTACCATAAATTTCCAAGCTGCAATTATGGTTCTTATCTCCTGTGAAGTTAATGATTCCTCTCAAGTGGAAACAGTGAAAACTCTTAACCGTCAAATAATCTTGTTAGGTTAGAAAATTCTCTTCCATCCCATCCTTGCTATTGCACTATACAACTGCCTTCTTCCTTTTTTCTTAGTTTTTGCTCAAATAATAAAGCTGATAAAAAAAAAAATTGTCAAAAGCTCGGGATGGAAAAGACTCTGCAAGAAAATACGGAATCTCTTGCTCAGTCCCCAGTCTAATATGCCTCAGTTGTTTTTAATACAATTTTAGATTCTGTATTGAAAATGGCTTTCTCCCAAATCTCTTGCTTTGAATTGGTACAGTTGATTTTCCTTAACCCTTTCAACCCTGCTGATGTCTCTCTCATTTGCCACCCTCATATAGAGGTATATTTTATCAATAGCAGAGAATGTTTTACTATTCACCGACAGAGTTTTCATTTGACAGTTCGACCACATGTGTTTTCCCACTTGTTTTGGGGATAGCTGAAACTTTGTTTGTAGAACAATCTGGTGAGCACTTATATAACAGCGGATCTTTCAGGACACAACAGCGTACTCGGTTAAATTCACGAAATTGCTATAGTAACTAAAATGTACACTTTATGAGGATAAAAGGCCAAGTGAAAGGTATGCAAAAGTGTTACTTGATACTTGTTTGTGATTTCATATGGTGGATATCCTCACCATTGCTTCTTCAAACTGCCACACACAATTGCCACCACTAGGTGTTCCTGTTACATAATGTGACAATTTTTTCCATAGATGGTAGAACATCCCCAAAGATATTTTGCAAGTATTTGAGGGCTGCAGCTAAAAAAAGTGACTCTGGAGCAGGCACCAGCTGCGACATCTTCAAATTCTAACTCCGACACAAACGATGAAGACGAAATTGAGGAGAATGACAGAATGAAATAAAAACAAAATTGTTTAAAAAATTCCATGCACATTAAATGTTAATAATATCATAAGCTTGTTAGCCCCAAGGGGATAACAAGACTATAATAGCCCAAAGGGCTATCATAATCTTTGAAACAGCATTTTGTATCAAATCACTATAAATAGCAGTATCGCTTTTCAAATTGTTGCCACCAAATAGCACCCTGTATTAAAGAAATTAAATAATGAGGAACCTGTTTGAATGCATGTATGTTTCTCGCATTGTGAAATAACGATACTTAGAAATATCAAATTTTGAATAACATAGTCCTCCACCTGAATATGGGCACTTGGAAGTCTGAATCTTAATTTGTTTTCCTATCTATTTCATATTTTTTAAACTTTAACAAATTTTTTATTAAGAAACTCAATGATTTCAAAGCAGACAATGACAACACACTGTGCAGAATAAAATATTATCTCCAATGCACAAGACCATTGGAAATTCTAAAGATATACTCCTTTTAAATATTTTTAGCCCAAATGCTCTTGAACCGTGTATATATGTATAAATGAAACAAATGCCCCTTTAGGTGTAATATAAAATGTGAAAGTTTTCGAATTTTTATTTATTTATTTATTTATATTTTTAGCAACACAGACAATGGCATTATACAAAATCTGAAAGTTTTTTTTTTTTTTTTTTAATTTATATTTTTACCTTGAGATCTGATAGTGGCAATTACTATGGCATCCTATTATCTACAACCCAAGTAGGAACTTGCTAATATGTTGCAAGAAAACTCTTCTAAAACCTATAAACAACATTTTGTAGATTTTGTTCTGCGGAAAGGCACATCTCAAAACACCCAGGTTGAAGGGGTTACATCCTTCGTGTCAGAGTTGAAGAATTAATGAATTTTGACAAAGTGTACCATTGTGCCTAGCATGTACGATAGTTATCCTGACAACTTTTTCTCTAAGGTTAATGTTTATTAGTTGGTGGGGGAGGAAGAGGAAGCATCTCAGTTGATGCCATGATGCAGAGAAGTGAGAAAAAAAATATGATGTTCCATTTACTTTCTGAAATGAAAATTGCTTTAGGAAAGAAGTAATTCAAAGCAAACATCCAGAGGATGAAATTAACAGCAAATTTTTTTCAAACTATAAAATAAATTTACAATGTGAGGGTTTTCATTTTTGTCTTTACATATCAGATTGACTTTTCATGTTTCAAAACAGTAGTTTTTTTCTCTTGTATCATTCATTATTTATCTTCTAATCTATTATTATATTCTATCTAACTTCATTATCAAGTCATTATAACAATAATCAATAGATTGCACTTCAATATTTTTCTTTGAGCAGGTGCCAAAAGCTCTGAGTGGATTACTGATGGTGATAAATGATTTATATGTAGGGCTTTCATTAATATAAATCAATAATCACCATTATCAACAGTGATAATCTCTAACGTAACTATCTGCAGAGGAACGCAAAATCATTTAGGATCATACATAGCCATCTCACAAAGGTCTTATTGCCAGTAAATTGTTACAAGAATTATGTGTTTCCAAACTAATTATGTTACTATCAAAACATGAAATTGTACAATCGTTGACTTAGTGGAAACTTAACAGCTCTTGGCCAGTTCTGAACAATGGTGGTATGCAATTTGCCAATAAAAGCTTACTGCAGTGGTGCTATTAATGAGAGAATATAACGTTTTATTATATCATTATCAAACTTCATCCATTCACATGTACACAAAAAATTGGTTACTGTCTGATTTCTTTAAATTCTGTAATGCTTGTAACCTGTGACATGCACATTTTTAACATACCTTTAGAAGGAAAAGAAGTTGGGGGATGTATTGTCTGTAGAAAGTGACGGTCATAATATTGGACTCTTCCACAAAATCTGTCAACATTTTTTTTTATTAAGATATCGATGGGCAATTAACTAATTACCCCAATAAGGTGTTTTTCCATAATATTTATAAATAATATTCAGATGTAAATTAAAAGAGGAGGTGGGATTTGTGGCATCTCAAAATATTTTTTAACATCTGAGTAAATTTCTTTTGTAATAGGTCTGATAAAAAAGATTCAGCAACAAATAAAAACACCTTTTAATTATTACACAACTTCATTCCTATTCTTTTTTTTTTTTTTAACACATGTCAATGACCCAAAAAATTAGCCTCTTGTGAAAAACACTGAATCCCATCTTAAATAGAATTTTGTTTTTAATTTTCATTTAAAATCATTGCACCACTTCTTTCTCTTTACTTCAGTCTCAGTCTAAGACAATAAGTTAAGAAATACATATCAGCTTCCATTAATCTGTTCTAATACTGCTACTTACCAATATAAAATATGTGCAGCTAAAACTGAATAAATCATATGTTGTTAAAAGTCAATAACTATTTAGCATTAATACCCATTAAAAAAATATATGCAACATAGCTTTGTCTCTTACCTTGCATTGACTAAAGTTTCTCTTGACATAACATGTAACATATCTGCCATTTCCACAAAGAGCATGGATTGTTTATCTAAGAATGCCATGATTGCCTAATATACCAAATAAAATACACAATATAATTTTCAATGCATGACAACTTCTGCACTTAAACAATTTAATTCAATTTATTTGGTTGTAACGAAAGTTTTCCACCAAAGAACATTTTTAATTAAAGTTCCAAAAAACATGAAAGCAGTACCTTTAGAGCTGTTAGTAATTGCCACCCAAATCTATGATTTTCTGCCATTGTTTAGATAGTTTCTTAAAGCCTTCAGCCCAGAAATTTGGTGGCCGCAAGTCCAAAAAAGATCAACCTCATTTCGATTGTGGAGCAATGGGTGTGGTAAAAGATCCCATTCAAGTCTGTACAGAGTCCATCTGGTAAAAGCAGACACATGTGGTCTTGCATTATGTTGATGGAACATTACCTTTTTGCGCTTAATGTTTTTCCTTAATACTCAGCTTGATGTTTTTCGTTGATAGCAGCGTCGACACAGACTAGACTGTGCACCTTACTATCAAGGGTTTTACCTTTTCTCAGATACTCTTTGTGGATAATACTACAGCAATCCCACCAGATACAAAGCATAATCTTGTGACACTCCTGACAGGCTCAGACCAACCCCCTTTTCGGCCTGTGTTGTTGAAGTAAATCTACTTTTCATCAAAAGTGATGATCCAGGCCCGAATTTTGTCCTTGCATTGATATTCAAACAGATTAATACAGGCCTAAACATGTCTGTCCTTATCTACTCGAGTCAGTTCATGCACCACCTAGCAATTGAACTTGTACGTCAAGTTTATGTGATGCATAGTACATCTAATGAACATGGAACTAAAGTCTAACTTCTTAGCAAGATCTTGAGTGGTTGCATATCAAACTTCTTCCCAAGTTCTCAGAGGCGGGCCTTATCAACATCAGTAGGCCAGCTAGAGTGCTCTGCTTCTTGAATGTCATAGTCCATGCTTTTGAACTTTTGGTACCAAACCTTCACAATGTCATATTATACAACATTAGTACCTAAAGCTATACACGTGATTTGGTGACATTGTGTAGCTGACTTTTTGCAACAGAACTGGAAGTAAATGATAGTTTCAATCTAGCGTGATAGTTCCTTTCACACACCTTGTATTTAATGATAGTTTTTAACAAATTTCACAACACAGTGTTCTAAGCAAGTCTCTTTCTTCCAAATGCCAAAAATTGTATGACAAAATATTATAAAACATGCTAACTGTTTGCATAAATGATATTTGCAGTGGAGGGAAACTTTCGTTAAAACTCGATATTATAAGTAAAATGTTTAGTTGAATCAAAATATATTAATTTAAATGAAATTTTTAAAGCACGATATATTTAAAAGAATACCGACTCTGAATACTTAAACAGTAATTATTACAGATTCTAAAATATAACTGCATGAATATAAAAATCATGTCTAAAATTTAAGAATTCTATATTTAATATTATTGTACACCTTATTTATGTAAATTTATTCGTTTTAACATGATACATATAATGCAGGTCCAAATTTTCATAAACAAATATTTCTTTCATTTAATTCATACAATGCCCATTTTAAATGCATTTATAAGCACATTCTAAGGAATACTAAGTGTAATGACTTAATAATTAAATTGAATACTACACTGGAAAGGTCATTCTAATTTTCATAAAATCAAACAAATTATCTAAACTTTGTGCCTCTCTCATTAGTAATGTAATTAGTCAAGACTGGCAAAAAAGCCAATTGACTTACGCTCCAATCTCAGATAAGGCACTTATGCTCAGGGTTACAGTGTCTTTGCGGAAAGGACACTTAAATATGTCAATTCAAAAACCTCTCAATAAGTTACTAGCACGCTAAGAGCAATTTTGAACCGCTGAGTTCTATACCTTGAAGTATTTGTGTGCAATCACAAGTTAGTCAATTAATTTAATGCCATACAGTTTCAATGGACCCTTAAATCCCCCTTTATAAATTTCACCTTTCATAATTTATACCTGTCATAAATTTATTTTAAATAATGCAAAACCCCAGCACTTGATTTTTTCCTATTCAATTCACATTAAAAAAATTAAGATATTTTACTAGAAAAATGAAAGGTCCATCCATCAGGAAACTGTTAAGAACAGTCAAATTGAACATCAACACAATAAATACATACAGTATTATACTCCAAATTCAAGATGATACAAATACAGAAACTCAATATACTAGTTCAACATCTAAGAAAATTATCAATAAGAATGCTGACAAACCAATATAATGACAGAAGTAGCACATCTTACATAAAATGCTATTTAAAACATGAAACTCAGTAACTGAATGGGACATTACTAAAATCAACAAATCCTGACATAAAAACAACTTTAAAATTGGAGAAATCATCACAGAATCATGTCGCAACAGAGTTCCTTTTAATCCGATACATACCGTATATTCCAGCATATAATGTGCACTTTTAATACACAAAATGAGTTCAAAATTTAGAGATGTGCATTATACACCAGATCTAAAAATGATATCTAAAAATAAAGAAAAGATGAACATACAAAAACTTGATTTTTCGTGTACCTAGACACTTTTACTGCCGATTCTGGTGATTTTCTAGAACCCAATTCCCAACACCCTCTTCTAGAAGTCATTTCATTAACTCCTTTCCTCAAATCACATTCATTTTGTGGCACATTAATTATTGCGATACAATTTTTTTTCTACTCACATATTGAACCAATATCAAACATTCTTGGCTCCAGCTCGATTTACATTTTCTTTCGCAAACTGAATGACTTTGCATTTGAAAACAGGACTATGTTTGTTTCGTTTGGCAGGAGCTATATTTCCTACTAAAAGGAATACTTGATCAACTGTATTTCAGTTAAAGCAAATGCGATTTACTAAAGCCTTCAATGTTCACTTCAAATGACTACAAAGAGAGAAAAACATTGGACTCCAAATTCTGTGAATTCATTCAGGTCAGAAGTACATTTGTATTTGAAATTATTTGCTACTTTTCTCTAAACCCTAGAATAGCATTCTTGGACACTTCTGCATTGAATACAACATACCCTCTTTGCAGAATTATTCACTACCTCACGCATTTTCCTCCACATACATATTGTTCCCCTTATCACTTCCTAATTTAGGAATTTTTGACATTTTTTTTTTTTTTTTTAAATTTCTAAGTTTGTAGTACTTAAAAGGAACAAATGCTGTTTTTATGTTACTTATGTACTCTTACTTGACATGACCTTGGCCATGTTTCCACACAAACCAACTAGGTGCCAAGGCTGTGTTTAGCAACGCATTGTTCAGATTGTTGTCGCATTTGGTAAGGTTACACAATGGATGATAATTATGAGCAAAGAGTGAACATTAAGTTTTGCATTAAACTCAAGAAAATCCCTATTGAAACATGACTAAGCAAGCATATGCAGGTGAGGCACTTTCAAGGAGTGGTGTTTCCAATTGGCACAAAAGGTTTTGTGAAGGCAAAGATTCAGTGCAAGACAATCACCGAGCTAGTTCCCGTCTATAGCATATACCGATGCAAACATGGAGCATGTAAGGCAGTTATTGCAAGAAGACTGTCGTGTAACTGTGTGTACGATATCAGAAAAACTAAACTTGAATCGTGATGTGTGTCTTCCTTGCTCACTAACAGATAAACAGAAAGAGGAAAGACGAAGAACTTCTACTGAACCATTGGATAGAGCCAGATGTGATCTCACATCTGTGTCAAAGATTATTGTGATTTTTTTCCTTGTTTCCATGCATGAAAAAATGTCTGAAAGGAAAGGTTCATCAAGATTACTGTAGACATCCAATGGGCTGTGATAAATGAGCTTGCAAGCATTGCAGTTGAAGATTCCTCTGCTTGCTTCCAAAGACCTCCAGAAATGTTGGCAGTTGCATAGAGATAGCCAAGGAGACTACTTTGATAGCAACTAGGATCATTACTTGATAAATGCAATTTTCTATTTTTTATAACTTCTGTCCTGGAACTTTTCTGACAACGGATGTATAACAACAACGTGCATGTATCTTTCAGGTTTCTTTGTAAAGAAAAAGGTGCTGGTTATACAATGAATATGCAGTGGCTAAGCAATAAAATCACTGAACATTTGCAGTTCAACCTGGGTTCAAATCTTACCAAACAGGTTAGCTGCATATGTGTGTTTGATGTTATTCTGTATATGTAACACGAATACAACCCAGTTTCCCTTATAAAGTCTTTAGCATAGGCAAACAGCAAATGATTTACTTTGCCTTAATCAATTAATCTAATCAAAAGAGACAGGTCAGCCTTAATAATGTTTAAACATGGTTTTCAGTGTATAAACCTAGACTATTTCATTTTATTTTAAATTTAATTTAAGTGTGAGTAACTTTTGAATTTTCAACATAAAAAGACAATATCCTTAAAACAGTGCTTTTGTCAGACTGTTTATATGTGAGTATTTTCCCATAAAATTTGTGGTTGAAAAAGTACATTAACAAATGCAACAAAAATATTTATTTTCACTTACTTCAACTGTTCTTTTTTTAAATAATTATCATTACATGTATTTAACAATTTTTATCCAGCTTTGTTAAACATATTGAAATGCAGACCTGTCTTTTATGTTCCTTTAAGTTTTAACTTATTGATGTTTGACTCTATATTTCAAACCAGTTTAAAACTGATCCCCCCAAGCCAAAAAAAAAAAAAAGTTAAAAACCCCATAAAAAGGCACAATAATTAACATTTTATTACTTAAAAGACTACTTCAAAGGTCTGCAAACTTACAGCACATTTCTCAACTTTAGATGCACTAGCAGCCCATTTTGCTAAAGCTAGCAACCTTATGAAAAGCTGTCTCGTTCGACTTGCAAACTGCACAATTTCTATTTTCCGTTCCATATCTGTTTTCCTAGGCAGCCTAAAAAAAAAAGAAAGTACATGATTAATTTTACACTGGATCACTCTTCATGAGTAATACAGAAGATTCCTATTAATTAGAACATAAATAAAATGTTAATATCATTATAATATAACATTGTTCATAGTCTGGAAAATAAAATGCATGATTTAGTAAAAATATAGGAGATTAATTTATATATATCAATATAATAACGAATACGGAATTATCAGAACTTTGGTGATTCTGGGTCTCAGACATTTCCACATCTCAGATCATCAGTTTAAATCTAGTAAAATGTCATGCATACATGGTAACATTGGGGCTTCAACTGTTCTTATTGAAGCTTCAATGTTTTACTTATTATTATTATTTAGGTCACATATAAAAATGCTAACTCCTTACCATGTTTGGCCCCAGAGCAGTTACAACTGATGTGGCCACATTGAGTGTCATAATTGAATAAGAAAAGCAGAATTTTTAGAGTTTAGAAGAAGCAGCAGGCAGCAGAATTTTTACAAGCAGCAGCAGGCTGCAGAATTTAGGCAAAGCCAAACTTTTAGAACTTAGGAAGGTAACAAGCAGCTGCATTGAGGACCTGCTAAGAGTGTAATAGGGCCACAAAATGCACAGCGCCAGCTTGCCACCTTCTACAATTGCTCAAGGGCCAAAATTGTGATCCTGAACAAAATCAATTAATGTAATTATTATTTGCCACAATGCAACTCCCTAACTTGCACATGTTTGAAAGTGACATGCAAGCCTCTCAATTAGAGTGAGAAAAATCAAATTTATATCACACATTTCCTTTTGTTATATTACTATTTACTCCATTCCTAGACTTTGTGTTGAGTGGGGTATTATTTTACTTTGTTACTTTTTTCCCAGGGGAAAGGGTATAGAAGTCCGGATTTCGAACTTTGTAAAGTATGTACTCAATTTTTAAAGCCAAGAATTCACAACATCACAGTTCAAAAATTATACTATCCAATCGTATATTTCTGGAATAAGAACACACTATAACATGAAACTATATTACAATCAAAACAACCTCTGGAAAGCTCTAGATCAAAAATTTATCAGATAAGTTTAATTTAAACATGCTTTTACCATAAATTAGAAAATTTACCATTTAACGTTTCTTATCCTAATAAAATATTATACAGCTACATTTGGCATAAATAATAAAAAATAAAATTGAAAATATACATTATTTCAGTTATACAAGAATACAATGTTAAACTCACAATTCAGCAAGGACAGTCAACTCATGGTACGTTCTCTGTAAAATGAAATCAATTAGCCTTGCAAGGCTAATTGTATTGCTGGCTTGTGCTGGCTGCATTACTTGAGCCATAGGTTGCATAGCAACAACAGGCGTCTGCCTGCCTTCAATGGGACGTGGAACCATTGGAAATACCCTTATGTCAAAGAAGTACTAGAAAATAAAATTCAAAATTGAAATTTGAAGATTATCATAAAATTACAAAGTCAATAAAGAAAAATTTACATAACATACAGAAGTAAATGTCTGTAAGAAAAGATTATTCTGACCTTTCTCTTTCTTGCAATAAAACGTTTGTCATCTTACCAACTAAAACAAATTATAAATCAAAACAATTTAGTTTAACAAACAAACAACTTTAACAACAACAAGTAAGTCTAAACTTTAATTATTATTAGCCATGTTGAGTATTACTGTTTACTTATGTTTTCAGACATCATTTTACACTATGTAGTTCTTGCTGTTCTAAATTAATTACAAATTTATTCATTTTATCTAAATTATTAGAGCTACTAAATTTTAAAGGTTTTATTTCAGCTTTTTTCTACTATTCCTTTTTTTTTAAAGTTTTTAACATTATATATACTTATATATTATCAGAAAAGGTTATTGCCAGCATACAAATAAGTAAGAACATACTCATAACATATGTGCTTTCGTCTGATGTAACCCTACCCAATTCTCAATAAATCATTTTTGTTTATATAAGGAGATTTAATTGTCATTGCAATACTTTTTCTTGCATTTTGAATAATAATAATTGGGGCCCACCTTCCACAAAACAGCAAGCAATGAATTCTATAAGTTATAGGATCCTTCCAAAAAAAATTTTAAATAACATGGTATAATTAGCTGCATATCCTCAACAAAATAATAATAGATTTGAACTGTCACTTTATGGGAAGTTTCAACTCACAGCACTCTAAACAGTTTTTTGTAAAATCGAAGAATAATCTAATAAAATAGTAGAAATTGACAGAATCTTTTTTACGATGGAAAAAGACAAAACAAATTGAATACAGATTGTTTATTAAATAAACATCAATTCCTTCAGAATTCTGTAGGAAAGACTAGCACAACTTAGGCGAGATCTCCACCAACTTTCATGATCGACAGGATAATATTTAAGTAATGGCTAGTTCAATAAAAAGTGAAAATATTTAAATTAGTAACATAATAGTGCCATACATAAATAAAATATAGATCTAATAATATTAATATGAGAAGTTTCTTTCATTTTAAGAAACACTTTTTCCAGCTAGTTTATCTTATGGCTTTTTCCACTGCAGTAGAAATTTATCCATTCTGTTATTGACAAAATCAAAATGTCAAAATAAAGAAAATGAAAATTTTAACCACGTTAATAAGATTCATAATTTTTTCAGAGATTTTTTTAGAAAAGTAGTCTGTACTGCAGCTACACAATCAGTCAAGTAAACAATCAAATTGGCCAGTTCATCTTTATTCAATAATAAATAATACATTTCTGCATTGCCTATTTATCTGGTGAAAAATACATATAGATTAACCTAAACCACTTAAAATGGGAAAATATCTTTCTGAATCAGCTAATAGAAATAATGGTAAGAAGCTGTTAAAGAAAGTTCTGTTGTGCCTTATCTAAAAAGGCACAACAGAACTTTCTTTAACAAAAATTTTAAAAAAACTGCCCCCCCCCCTTTTTTTTTTTTACTTTTACACCACAATTATACTAACTTTACAAATGACAAATATGTATAAATCTTTAGTAAAGAAGCTTGAAAATATTGTGTTACTGTTTAAAATCTACAAAGTTTGGTATTTGTCTCCTGTAGCAGCCTTGGATGAGAGAAAATGACATTAGCTAAACTCTGACTTACAAAAGCACAATTTGTAGCCGAATATCATAAGTCCATGAAAATCAAACTGACTAATGACAAATCGGCAATTCATTCAATATCTATACAACACAAGTTACTTAATATATACAAATGGAAGGAATTTAATGTAAATTTGTATTTATTATGGTATTTAATACAGTTAGTTGTCAAATTACTCAAAATAATATAATTTGACAGACACAATTGTAAGCAATTTATTTAAAATAACAAAAATATATAAACATACCAGAAAATTCTACTTCTTATTTTATTTAATACAATTTTGTTAGCAATTTATTTTTAATATATATATATGTGTGTGTGTGTGTATGTGTTGTGTCCATGTGGGCAGTAAGAGTTAAATCTACGAAGCTTCCTGATTTAAACAGAAAACAGCTGGCATTCTAAATCTAGTTTTGAATTTTTATTCTTGTTGCCAACTCTAAAAAAGCATCCCTAATAGCTGAATATAATCCTACTTTGTATTATTTTGATTCATTACTAAGTCAATTATTTAATTTTTTCTCAATTCCTACATTCAATTATCCTAAAGATTCTTTCACTCCAAAAGATTTGGTTCTTTCTATAAGCTGGATAATGGCTTCATGCAACAGAATACGGAGCTCTTCGCTAGCTTCTTCATCATAGTTATTTGCCTTGTCATCGTTGTCATCAGTATCCTTACAATTATATCGTCATCTTCATTCATCCCCCCCAAGGGGTTGATACAGAGAACTCTGTGAAGAAGCTACTGGCTAGGATCTGTATCTAGGCAGTCTCGGCCATGGGGATATAAAATTCATGAACCTGGAGGTTCCAGAACTCGAGGTTGAATCGATTATACGGTTTGACTTCAGGAGATTGGCGTAAGAAAAAGAAATTATAGTTCCATAGCTCAGTGTGGGATGGCACTACAGTGTTGGGACAGTATTGAGTTTGCTAGGTTATGTCCTGATATGATGAGCAGCCTGTGCAGTACTGGCAGGAGCAATCTGACAACCAGTCAGATCTTTAGGTGTCCAGGTCAAGCCCCACACCAAATGCAAAAATGGAGAGTAGTGACCCTTCAGACCCGGCACATCGGTGGAGATTTCTTGAGTAGTTTTTAAATCTGAGGCTAAGATTTGGAGCGATGCCCGGATCTTGGCGAGTTGAGAAGAACTCCTAAGTGGAACTTTCAATAGATGGGCTGAGACTAAGAATTTGAGTTTGTCGCCCAGATCTCCAGCCCAAAAGAGAGAACTCAAACTGTGATCAGATTGACTGCAACCTACCCCTGCCTAATATGGAGGTTCCTCAGCAAGGAAAAGACTCCTTAATTGCATTTAGTAGCAGGAAAGGAGTAAAAATGTGTCTTGCCATCTTCATTCATACAATCTCCATTTCATCATCATCTTCGTTCATATAATCTACATCTCATCAGCATTTTCATTCATATATATAATCTCTATCTCATCATCATTTTCATTCATATATATAATCTCTATCTCATCATCATTACCACTCATATAATCTCTAGCTTAATAGTCATCGTTGTTCACAGTCTCAATCTTTGTCATTAGTATATATTCTAGCTTTCCTAAGAAATCTCAAATCTTTCTGTTTCAGAATCATTTTAAGTTTTTGTATTTCAGAACAATCTACGTCTTTATACTTAACAATAACTTCACAGTACTTCAGAATAATTTACATCCATATGTTTTGCAATTTCAAAATCAGATGATGTCTTTGGAATTTTCTATATTAACAAATCCATTAAAATTATTTAACTGCTTCTTAACCTTATGATTAACATCTTCCAACATAACATGGTATAAAATTTTAATAGTTCTTAAAGAATGCACACATTACTAATTTTTCACAGTTGGAATCACTACATAGTATAAAACAAAGTCGCTTTCTCTGTCCCTATATCCCTATGTATGCTTAAATCTTTAAAACTATGCAACGGATTTTAATGTGGTTTTTTTTAATAGATAGAGTGATTGAAGAGGAAGGTTTATATGTATAATAAGATCTATTAAATAGTGGAGAAATACTGTTATTTTTGAGGTTTCTAATGTGATGTCGTAAATAATTACATTTTTTCCAAAACATTTTACATCAAAAAATGTACTAAGTATTGTACACATTGAAAAGGTCTACAGATTTAAAAATTGCGGGACGTAGGAGCGTGCCTATAAATAGCACGTCTGAGGCCGCGGTTCTCCCTATAGCCTTTGAATTTAGCAGCGATCGCACGCATTTATTATCGGAGCTCTCTAGCGAGCAAAATAACAATATACTTAATAAAAACGAGCTTTTCAGCGCGACAACGTATCAGTTATTATAAGTAAGTTATGATAAATAATTATATGACAGTAGTTTTAAAATATAAATGATATTCTATTCTAAGCTTAATTTTTAAATCACACTTATAGTAATTATAAGTACATAAGGTTAGATAAGATTAGATTAAATAAAACCATAATTTATGGATTGGAATTTTCTATTAAGATCTTGGTTAAAATTTAAGAGTTAAATCAATTTAATATTAGGGAAATCATTTTCAAAAATCGTAATTTAACCTTTTGAGGCCGGGGCTTTGGTAGCAGAAAAGCTACCAAAGGACGGGGAATCTTGAACCAAATGCTTTCCCCCTTTAAGAAATCAACTCCTATTTGCAACAAAGATTCTTGTGTGTAGTTTAATTGATTCTCACAGGGGTGCATCTATGTCGCAAGAGGAAGACCTTTGAAAGAGATAAGTGATTAAAACCCTAGGGACGTCAAATTTGACATTTCATACCACTTTTCAGCCTGGAAAATGGGGGAAAAAGACATGGCCACTAAAGTGGACAACCCCGTCTTTTCAAAGAGAGGACTCTATGGCCACTATAATGGCCATCTGTCTTCAAAAGGTTAAGGTGAGGTATGTAAGTTCAGAAAAAGAACTTAATAGAATACGTATCTTTTGTTGTGACGTTATACGTAGAACTTAAAAGAATACGTATCTTATTTTTCAGTGAGTGACATAGGCTATATATTTTATACCCGTGCGAAGCCGGAGCGGGTCGCTAGTATCTTCTATTTTAAGAACCCTTTAAATAAGTTAATGGGGGAAAAAAAAATATTCACAGAAAAAGTAATGAAATAAATGAATATTTTCTTGCTTGCTAATCCCACACAAATTTGTAGTGCCTATGTGGAAAATTTGTAGTGTCTATGTGGACAGTAGAAGATAAATCTACTGGGCTTCTCAATTTAGAAAGACTCTTTAATAGACCAAAATGCACACCAAATACACATATGGTGC